TAAATATCTATTCTACTTTATTCTATTCTATCATCATCATCATTAACCCATTTATACGTCCCACTGCTGGGCACCCGGGCGGCACGCGCACACGCTGTGAACGCAACGAGCGTCTCCATACATCTGGTCATCGCGGGTACCATGGACACACCAACCACAAATTACACCCAAGCTCCCGAGCACATACATGTAAACCACACAAATATTTCTCCCGGCCTGGAAATCGGGACCTTTGCGTGGCAGTCCAGCGTGGTAACCGGTAGTTATAAATAAAATAATTAAATAAATAAATAACGCGTACACACTCTTTGCTCCGCACTAGGGATTCTCTGTAAAATTGAAAATTGAAATGACAATTCCGTGTCGTGTCAATTTTCTTCAATGTTGTTTGGTGATCGGGACCGAATCCATCGTAACATAAATACCTACTTATATAATTCTGTGGGTGAGAGGTAAAGAACCTTTGAAATTTAATGTTTTTACAAACATTGCTTTAGAATGCTAAAAGAGTCTGTACTACCTCGGCTCGATTTTGAAATTTTTCCCGTACTAATACGGCTCATTTTGCTTGGGTCGAGACACTGGCTTTATTTCAGAATTAATTTTTTTACAAACGAAATTAAAACCATTTGTATAATGTGTATCGTGTAATATACGTGTTCTATTTAGTTCAGGTAAGGTAAATTTTTGTTTTTTTTTCTTCACTGTGATACGGAATCAACCAAAGCCATTACTCTTAAGTCATATCGTCGTTTGTATTTTTATTTGCTTTTAAAATTAATTTTAAATACATAATTAAGAGCCTCTTTAAAACGCTCTGTACTAAAAATTACTACTTGAGACTTAAGGTTCTTTACATCTGACCTACAGAATTTTGTATGCTATTTAGATATAACGTAATATATATCGAGTTCTATAAATTATTATTTTCTCGGATCTCAATCCACATACGTTCGTTTTTCTTTTCAAACAAACCATAATGTATTTTGTCAGCCTGCAGAGTGACAGTGCCGTGCTGCTCCTAATACTAGCATAGTTATAAGGTGTGTTATGCTACTAACTTACTAACTTGTATGCACTATGTTGTCTGAAAATACATTTTCTTTATAAGCGATTCGTATTATAAAGATCTCGAACCCACTTCGGATGTCGCTTGTGCACTAAGTCCGATTAGAATCCGAGAAAATATGAAAATCGCTTGAACACTTAGAGATAAAATGATCCTTGTGACATTTCGGACCGTTATTTCTCGGATTCGGAACTGATACGAACCGGACGTAATACGCAAACGCTCTAAGGCTTCAGTCTTTTTATAGGTTCTATATGCGATTTAAATCCGAAAAAATAGGTTAATTAAAAAAATAAGACACATTTTCATTAAAAAACTTCCAATTTTCTTAAGATAAAAGGGTTACTGGTTTCTGTCGCTCTGGAGCTCAATACTTCTCTGGTGAATAAAACTTAGACTGATGATACCTTCAAATGTAAAACGATAGGTAATTATCATTTGGATATAGCTTAATAAAAAAACCGTTTACTAATATTTCTATTTTCAATTTATTGTTTATTTGTTTTCGAAATAAGTTTGTTTTCTTTTAATATTAATAATAATAATAATTATGAATTAATAGTTGCAAGAGAAACTTTCTAACGTCTACTTAAAATTATCGCTGACTTAGTTGAGAACTAATTGTAAAAATCGTTATTTCGGTCTATTCAACTATTAATTATTCCATTTTTATTCTATTTACAAATAAAATTGTTTCCATCATTGACCTACTAACAAAGTTTCCATTCATTTGTCAAACGGTCTTTGTAAACCGTTCAGTTTGAATAAGAAAGTGGTAGAATAACTCTCTTGAACGATTTCACAGATCATTTGACATAATGATTGTAGGTACATTATAATGAATTTGGAACAACCAAAAAATTCGGAATTCTATATTAAAAGCAACTTTCAAAGACGGGCCCCACCACTTTATACCGTGTCGAGTACTATTAGGTGGAAATTAGTGCGCATCCATTAGCGCTAGCCCTCTCTGCATTAGCAATTCGATATTGAATTAAAGTCTGTTCCAATTCGTTATGCTAGAAAAGTAAACAAACGGGTTTGTTTAAAATTCTAAAGTAGTCAATCAATAAATGGAATAAAATAAAAAAATAAAAATAAAATCTTATTTGAAAAATGTTAGTTCAAAAGTGAGGTTATTTTTCAAATATACATTTGTGAATAGTCTACGGTTGCATAGGGTTGTACGGAAATAACGCATTCGGTTCATTCAATTAAAGTTTTTGTAATCGATAAGCGAATCAAAAATTTATATAAAGTTAAAAGTGTAAGATTTGAATTGAAGGATGATTTAAAATTAGATTTCGGAAATTTTAATTTGCTTTTATACGTTATGTAAGAAAAAAAATTCTAATCTCATGTATGAAATGTCGTCACCCAGTATTTAATCACATATTTTTTATAGTAATCAGCAGCGGAACCGCATAACCCATTTTATTAAATAAAATAAAGTTACTCCAACTGATTCAATTGAAGAAATCGATTCATTCAATGAATTAATCGATTTGTAGTTGGCGGAACAGTTGGTCATCACTAAACTGTCTATATACATTGGATTGGAACAGGCTATAACTCACAGGTACCAACAAAATTTCGTATATATAGTCAAATCCACAATGAATCGGACGAATTGGTGGTATTCCTTAATATGTGGGCCAACATGTTGAAAATTGTATTTTCATTTAAAAGTACGAGAAACGGTGTTTATCAATCGTTTATTCTAATTTATTTAAAAAAAAAATCATCTCTCAATTTGAAATTACATAATTTAGTAGAGACATCACTCCACGGAGATTTATTCAAAATAATATATTCAAGATGATATTGTTTTTTTTTATTGCTCCGCACTTCGAGTTTTTTGTCTATATGGTTGCTAAATAAATAAGGTTTTTCATAAATCTTACAACGTATTGATCAGTGCTAGAGTTAAGAGTAAGTACAAAATTTCCTTGTAGGTATCTATAGTTACTATAATTATTCTTATTGCCCGTGTAAAAGAGACTAAACGATAAAATACTTAACATAAATTCACTTAAAACAACAATAGGTAAAAATTTTTTTCAAACGTATTAAAATTAAGGCTATGACTAGACTTGCATCGAGGATAAAGCATTATATAAAGTTTGGTAGTTTCATATTTAATAAATTCCTAGCAATTACCTATTTCAATAGTTCGTTAATCGATCTCTAGATTGCACGTTTTGTTAACTTACCTCGTTAGTTCTATATTTACAAAATATGTTTAAAAATACTATTTATAATTTGCAAACTTTTTTAATTTTGCATTTTAAGCCGTGGTGACAGATATCACCTTAGTGGATTCACGCAAGTTGCGCTAGTTTTGACTGTACCTCATTTTTGGCATCGTTTGACGGCGTTCCAGTAATTTGGCAACAATGTCTTTCAAGTTCAGTCGCGATCATAATTTCATTGCAATTTTGAGAACTTGTTTTCGACCTTTGGAACTTAGAATAATAACGCGTAGAAACCTAGTCCGCACGCGCTAAGTGAGGCAAATTGAAGCGCTCCCAATGGGCCTACACGAGCGGGCGGGCCTTCAGTGCTCAAGGTCAACTTGCACCGCGAACAGCTAAAAATGACGAAATGTGCGGTAAATGAGTGTAAAAATACGTCAGACAAACATAAAATAGATACTAACATCACATTCCACAAGGAAATAACGCGTTTCAACTTGTATTTTTATATAAATATTCACTAAAACCTACTACTAAAACTAGCCTACATGAATTTGATTTTTGCCTCACTTGTGACAGTTCGTTGTGATATGAAACTATCATTCTATGCGTTATTATTCTAAGCTTTGGAATATACATAATGCATGAATCCACTCGCGTTGTACTAATTCCTTTCAGTTTAGTAGCTAAGATTAAACTAACGCCTAAATTAAAATTGAACTGTGACTATTTACATATGAATTTTAAAACTATTTTGGCTAAAACGTTACTAGTAACTTCTTACGCTAAAAATTGTGCCATAGTGTGTGTAATAATCACTAAAATGAATAAATTAAAAGTAATCAATAAACAGTATTAACCTACAGAGTACTATCTACAATTTATAATTGAAAATATTTTTCTTATATTTATTTTGTACAGTTCAATAATTTAATGTGAACAAAAATGACTATAATAACAAACTTAATTAAACGATAATACACTTGTACAATACGTGGGTAGATTAGGGACGAGTAACATGCATGTTCTCTGAGACTAGTGACAAGTGCGCGACCGCGACCGCAAAAGACGGCGACAACGAGACACGACTTCCAATTAGGATTCAATCTAATCTATTTTGGAAGGTACTTTTGTTTATGCATGAGCGTAATAGACTAAATAGTGAAAAGCTTAGTTTACACCGGTGTGGTGCATGTTATCGGCCTAATCACTCCACCCGGCAAACACGACAACAGACATGCGCGTTTTTGGGCGATGTGTGTCGGCGGGCACGAGCGCCGACGGCCACCGGCGCCCGCGCAGCCTCGCAGCGATGAACGTACTAACATTAAACACAGAACATTGATTATTTGCAAGGCACATTCTCTTAAAAATCCTGAATTCAAAATCTTCATGTACATATTCAATGCTCCAGAAACATTAAAACGCGGTGAGTACAACGAAAACGATGGTCAATGTGACGAAGCGACTTCTATCTGTAATGATATGTATATAATCAATTATATACCCTGTGTCTCGAAAAATATATGTAAGAAGTCATCGTACGTGTAGAGATAGAGGAACGCAAAGGGTCGATTCATACATTTATCTACTAATGACTAAGTTGCGCTTTGACTCGAGAAAAAATGTTTAAATGAATGAGATCGGGTCGAGATCTTGATTATTGCTCACGATAGTGTCGGCGCGGCGGCACCGGGGCGTGGGGGCGCGGCAGGTGCTTAGTAGCCGTACCCGGCACCCGGGTACAGAAGAGCCGCGCCGCCGCCCGTCGGTCAGTGTTGCGCAGCGAACTTCATACGCTTCTGTTTTTGCCGCTGGTTGCAGAACCATACTCGCACCACGTTCTTCTTCAAGTCTAGTTTTTCCGCGATCGCCGCAATTTTCTCGCCGGAGGGTCTGGGCTGCACTGCAAAGTACGCTTCTAAACTTCTCTTTTCCGGTGCTGCAATGGATGTTCTCTTGCGTTTCTTCTCACCAGCAGGCAGCACACTGGGTGCATCCGGGTCCCGTCTTTTGTTCTTGGCCTGCGCTTCCGCTTCTTCGAGCCACGCTTGCAAGATTGGTTTGAGAGCTATCATGTTGTTGTGACTGAGCGTGAGACTTTCGAAACGGCAGATGGTGCTCTGCGACAAAGCTCCCACTCCTGGCAATTTGAGGTTGGCCAGAGCTTTGCCGACGTCCGCTTGAGTAACTCCCAATTTGATTCGTCGCTGTTTGAACCTCTCGGCGAAGGCTTCGAGTTCTCTAGGGTCGGTGTCGGTGTCGGCGTGCAGGGCCGCTGCGGGGTGGCCTAGATGCGCGGGAGGCGCGTGGCCTAGCCCGCCAGCATGGTGGTGGTGGTTCATGACGTGGTTCATGGCGCCATAGCCATGCAGTTGGTGGTGAGGCGGCGCCGCCTCGCCCATCGGTGTCAGCGTTGTCATCGACGAGGAGGTGAGTGGGTCCAGCATGTCAAGGCCCTCCATGCCGTGATGGCCCATCTGCGAAAAGAAGGGCTGTTTGTAGCTCGTTTTATCGTACTGTCAAATATTCCACTATTAAGAGGATTAGCAACTAGGGTGGCGGATTGTTATTATTTCTCAGCGAATTAACTTCTACATTCATGTTAAATCGGACGTTTTATTGTAAATAAATCGGGGCGGCAACAATGGAGTACGAGGGGCAAGGGCGAGGGCGCGGGCGATATGGCAACATAAACAATCGTCTTTGTGCAGATTTGCACTCATTCTTTATGAGAGCAAACACTTGTTTTTTCTCGTGGGGCCGCGCTGTGACGTTGATTGGGCGCGAGTGCTCTGCCAATATGCCGCGCTGTAGCCGGCTTTGTTGCGAAAATGGAAGTTTCGAGTGTTTGCCTCGCCACCCATATGTGCACGCTGCCTGTGCCCTGTGCCCTTAACGCTCGATACTCATTGTTCCTAGTACAGTTATAATGAGACTGGCGCTTCTCATCTTCTAAATAATGTTTGTTCTATCAAAATGTGAACAAATACTCTCCATCCAGCTACTTACCATAGCGGAAATTGTTATGATGCTAATCTCAAGACGTGTTCGTTTGTAATAACAGGTGCTATATGCACCCGTTTAAAGCAATACAGAATCGAACAGAGCCATTACGTATTAGGAAGTTAATTGTGATATTCCGAAGCGGGTATTTTTGTAGCTCAGAAGCTGCCACGTCAACGTCAGTAAAAACAATCGAGCGTCGCCAATATATCTCACTAGAAGCGGGTGGCGGCGGGCCATAAGTCTCTCGCTAACAATTGTTCGTGCGGGCAAGGTGCCACGGCTCCCCGGGGGCCCGTATTTCACAATTACGCCAACCAGCCGCGTGCCGCACGAAACCTCATATGTCGAGCGTCAAACATACCAGTTTCCACTACTTGAAACGCTTCTCTATTGTATTTATTTAAGTTTTGTAGAGTTCGCTTAAAGAACCCTTGACATTTCATGTAAAAGGTGACGGAAAACAAAAAGTGAATGAAGTTAAAACGACAGTGTTTCAGATGATAATGTAATTTGTTACTATCTAATCCTTAAGCACACTGATTACTTATAATAATGCGCACACACACATAGGCTCGGAAAACCCCGTATCGCGGGTGCCAGGGACTTACACATAGACAACCACAAATTACGCTCAAGCTCAGGAGAGAAATAAACGTAGGCCATACAAACACTCCTCACGGCCCGGGAATCGAACACGGGACCTCTGCGTGGCAGTCCAGCTTGGCAACTGTTCGGCCACAGAGGCAGTTATTGGAGCAATCATTTTAAGTAATGAATTTAATCACGTTGTGATTTATTCAATTAAGAAGTCACTAAACGTTTTTGCAACTCGTATGATTTAGATTAAGGCATAATTATTTCATTCCGAGAATCGATATATTATCGATATATATCGATAATTTCGAAAATCTTCGAGACTCGAGACTGACGTTTTCAGTCTCAGGAATATAAAGAGTTCTGAGATATAATCGTTTAAATAGAAAGTATTAAAAATCTACTAAACCGTGTTACGAATAATCGTGGTTGTGCAATGAATAATAGGTAGAATAGTTGTTGCGATTGTACACAAATCGCAGCACGTTATAGAACCTGTGTTATGTTGATCTGTGATCAGTCGCTCGGATAGGACACAGCGACAGAGCATCAGACTTTTGTAGCGTGAGGTCCTCTCGTAGGTACTGGGGAAACTGGGAGGTAAATGAGCAGTCCTTTAACTAGTTAATTATGTTTATTGGGTCCACATGGACTCTCAAATTATGTTAAGTCTTTACGTAATTGTAAAATTACTACGTGGCGAAGCCGTTACTATGAATCAAGAGTAATTTTTTATTCTGATTCATATAGGACGTCTGGAGTGGAATAATATAATATAATATAATATGGAGGTGGAAGAAAGATAGTAACTAATCCAAACCTAAATCCTCTCTATTAGAAATTGTATTAAATGCCTTTTATTTCTTACGTACCCACTATAAAAATGAAAAACCGACCTCAAAAGTACGTGGAATTACGTCTATTTGCGAAGTTTTATTCAAATATCCTTAAATTCGCCACTATACAGGACTTGACACTGAAGGTAATAAAAATCGGTTCTCACTACTCAAAGTATGCCGAGAGAAAAATGCCTTGAATTGGAGAAATAGCAAAATCAACCATTAAAATAATTGCTCCTTAAGTAAAACGTAGGCGCTATTTATAAAAATGAATCTTCATGCGTGAACAGCCACCCTTAGAGGTGGATGATTGAAAAAGAATCATGAAAATCGGAACCTCCTCCTTTTTTGAAGTCGGTTAAAAAATAATTTTCATTTTGTACTATTATAATTTTCAGTTTTGATTTTTTAATTTATAGTATGCCACGATGATTGACCACCGTGATATTTAATTATTTTTATGAAATTGCACTACTAGTTTGTTATATTTTAATAACGCTAAGTCGAACTAGGTCGGACACTAAGAACAAATTCTTTCGATCCGGCTAAATTCGAACCAACGTCTTCCAGCAAACCGTGCCAGACGCTATGCCAACTAAGCCACGAAAAATTATGACTGCCTATACGCGTAGCCTATAAGTATTAAAATCTGCTTTTAATCTCGTATTTCCCGGTATTTCCGAGAACGCACTGAGTCTCGATGTTTTTTTCCCGAGACGCGGAAATACTGCGAGATTGAAAGCGCTAGTAATAATCATCAATTCTTGATGAAACCCCCATTTGTACAAGAATAACGTCTTTCAATATCTCCATAACCAGCTTTGGATCATTACGATCAACTGTAAGCTAAATTCACGGGTTATATGTGGGACATACATGACTTGATACGATATTGTTTTTTATAGATAGATCATAAGCAAGACTATACGATCATTCATACTAAAGTTAGTAGTGATGTTGTCTTTTAGATTCGCATCAATGACATTCACGATGTCCTTCCTCGTCAATATTTTGACATTTATTCGAAGTTGTTTCGTGGAAATGTCAACAACCCTTTGTAGCCACCCTCGGGCAGCGGCGCACAGGTGCGTAGATCCTATCGATGAAGTACAATTTGTTGGCCGATGGGGCGCATACGAGGGATTCACCCTAGTGTGTCATTTTCGAGTGCTAGTGGCAGCCCAAATTATTATTGATATCGATTTTGTAATGTGCTTTTTGCATTCGTGTAAATGAAGATAAAATGTATTATTGTTTTTATTGGGAGCGCACATGTACCAGAACCGAAAAGACAAAATATTGACTACTAAGAAATCCGTGAACTAGAAATCTAGTTTTCGAGATGCATTTCTCTTTCTGCTGGTTCTGCAAATTCATGCAAATGGAATCAGCAACTCTTTCAAATGGAATGACATACCTTTGGATCATTTGATGGCTGTCGGTATTCACAGCACTAATGTTAATGTTCGAACATAGAGACCATAACACGTTTCCTTGAAAAAGAATTAACCACTATAATGTATTACTTATCGAGTGTTTCCCGTTTAGAAGGTACTGTTCCGCGTAGTGTTATAGAATTAATTGGAAAAGCTTTAAAAATTGCGAAGAGAAGCCCGTGGTAAGTTTTAAACTATTCCAGGGTAGTTGTTGTCAATTGACATAGTAGCTTTCAGTTCTGACCAACTTTATTTGCATCGAATATGGCTGTTGTATCTTGAGAATGTTCTAAGATGTTTCATGCGAGGTACTTCTGACAAACTTGTAACTTCAGCAACTTACGTGACGTAAGGGCGCGTTTCCCATTATGTCGTAACGTTTTATTTGTCATTGGACTAGCCTGTTCCCATATCACGATTATCTGTCGTGATTACATCGTGGACGTTCATTTTATCGTTGAAGGACTGTTGTGATCGTAACGACAATTTCTCGGTTCACGGCAGCCGCCTTGTCGTTTCTACGACAGAATCGTTTGAAGCTGCGATTACCCATAGTCACATTTTTATCGTAACGTTTTATTTATTGTTCGACGACACTATCGTTCTAGCTCCTCCCATTGTCACGACAGTCCGTCGTCGTAATGTCAAAAAAGTTATGAACGACAGTTAATCGTGGTATTCTATGTGTGAACAACTTCATTTGAATATACAAGCTACGACATTTAAACTACACGACTATCTGTCGTCATGACCAAACTAACAAAGCAAACGGCACTGTTGATTGCCCTGAACTCCTTGAGCAAATAGGACTACGTACAGGCAAGGTTGCACTGAGAAGTCCTATCACCCTTTACGTTCCTAGGGTTAGGACAAATTATAGGCAAAATGCATTTTTAAATAGAGCATCTCGCTCATTTAACTTCTTAGTTATAAGATATGGTGAGGAGGACTTGTTCAACACCAGTACAAGTAAACTAAAACGCTTCCTCAGTGATATGTTTTTCTCTTATATGTACTACTATAACTGTTTAACATATTTAATTTCGTTATTTATATTTATTATAATTGTTTTTTTTTAGTCGGCAACTTACTTTATAGTTTGTTTCTATCACTGCAAATAATTACATGTGGAAACTTTTAATTAGCCCTCAGCATACACGCACTGGTCTATCAGGCGTGTATTATACTTACTATTCTATTCTTGCTACCTAGCTGTAAGTTTTCCAAAAATAATCAAACCTAAAAATAAAATTAAATGGCGTAAGTGGACCGCGCCCTTACGTACTCCAACAACAATGACTGGCAAAAACTGGGCGAAACATTTATGGCAACTAATTTCAAGTTCTCGATATTTACTAGAGTTGAAGACTGTGGTTGTAGAGGCCACCCTGAAACAAATCAGAAATGTTTCTTTGCCTAACCTGAAAATCTGTTATTTCCAATGGTGATGGATTCAGGGAGTCATATAAAAAAGCTAGCTTTGCGTCGTATTTTAAAAGAGCCTGGTGCAAGTTGCAATTATCAGCTCCTTGTGAAAGAGTTCGTCCAGGGAAGTACAGCTATCTGTCCACCTCTATCTTCAAACAGCAATGTTAGCATTACTATGTACCGATTTTG